CGGTGCTGGCCCTGCCTGTCAGCCCCTCTGGAGCCAGCTCTGGCCAGGCTGCACATAAAGACCGGGGCCGTGTGGCAGGGTTCCCCAGGCGTCATTCGGCTTGGACCTTTCCGCCCTGCTGGGGGGCCAAGGGGATTGTTGCTGCTCTGGCTCAGTTTCCTGGGCGGTTCCAGCTTGGCCTGGCTTGGCTTGCCGGGCTTTTCATGAGCTGGAAAGCCACAGGGTGGGGGCGTGCCTGGGGAAAGAGCTGCAGGGGCGTTGAGGTGGGGGTGCTGGGAAGGTGTGTGCGCCCCCCCATGGGATGGGAGGTGGGCGGGGGTGTTATGGATTCTGCGTGGAGCCAGCCCCTTAGTCCCGCCGTAGGCGCTGCGGGGGCTTCCTGCCTGCCCCCTACCCCTGCTGGCTCACAGGAGCCCGAGGTGGGGTCACTTCCTCCAGGGTCTGCCCTGCCAGAGCCGTGGGTCTGGGCCAGCTGGAGTTTGCCATGCTGCTGCCAGACTCGGCTCAGACCTGCCCGGTGCCATGGCAGCCCCGGGGATCCTCCCGCAGAGTGGCTCAGCCCACACTCCCTCCCCCTCGCCAGAGGGCGGTGCTGTGTGGGGCATCAAGCCACCTGCCTGGTGAATTGCCAGGAACCCTTCTGTCCCACCCATCCTGTGTGCACGGGGTGGGGGAAAGGTTAGGGTCGCGAGGCCCCAGGCGGCTCCGTGCCCGAACAGACTGGGCGCCCGCAGCCGGCCCTGGGCTGCCCAGCCGGGAAGGGTTAACGCCGTCTCGATAGCGGCTGAGGCTGGCCCTAGCTGGTGGCAGATCCGTGGAGGGGTGACCCCCAACTGCAGCTGGCACAGGGCTAGGCCAGGCAGCAGCAGTGCCAGTGAGGGCAGTGGCTGCTGTGGGCCGTGCCCTGCAGGGCTGGGGACCGAACCCAGGAGTCCTGCTTTGCTCTGGGGCAAAACCCCTTTTTGCTTCTTGCCCCTCCCCCCCTTCCAGCCCCTTCTGTGTCCAGGGCCTCTCTGCACAGACTGTGCACGTGCGCCCCTGCCCCCACTAGGCCAGGCAGCAGCAGTGCCAGTGAGGGCAGTGGCTGCTGTGGGCCGTGCCCTGCAGGGCTGGGGACCGAACCCAGGAGTCCTGCTTTGCTCTGGGGCAAAACCCCTTTTTGCTTCTTGCCCCTCCCCCCCTTCCAGCCCCTTCTGTGTCCAGGGCCTCTCTGCACAGACTGTGCACGTGCGCCCCTGCCCCCA